AGTTTGAGTGACTCAGGACCCTCTGTCTTTCTAAGTCCATCTCCCACCACTTTTGTCACCCCCACCCCTACACGCACCCATTTTTCTCTTCAACAGCCTGAAAACCCCTGATGTTCTGGCAGCAGATGGCATGGCTGTTCCTGTTTCCTTGTTTGCTTGTTGACTTGTGTTCTCACAGACTTAGATGCAGCAGTGTATCTTCTAGGAAGCCCCCCTCTGTTGCTACTCCTTCCCTAATACTCGTTTGAGCTCACTGACCCTCCTTTGTCCTCCCCCAGCCTCTCCCACACTTAGTACACTCTACTAAGATGGTTGTTAACAAGTATTTGACTGGACGATATGGCCCTTAAGGGCAGAGACCATATCTCATTCAAGTTTGCATCTTCTATGATTAACATACAACAGGCTTCAAATAATGCTTACCGGGTTAACTAATGATGAATGAATGTTTTCTTCATTATGATTCCAGTGTTTAGCACCAATTATATGCTTAAAAAAGAAAAAAAATCATTTTCTTTTCAAATAGAAATGAGTTGTTTTGGATCAGCAAACGGTTTGATTCGAATGGTTATTTTAGGAACTTAACTTTGAAATTTAACTACTACTCATTTTTTCGTGTGTGTGGAAATTATAATTTGGGGTAAAACAGGCTTCCTCCTGAAAAAAAACGACAAAAGAAAATATATAAATACATAGACTATTTTTGAGTGCTTGTAATATGCCAGGCATTGTTGTTAGCACATTTCATGTCTAACTTAACTTTTTTTTTATCCCAGAGTGTTATTTAATTCTCATTTTTCAGATAAGGAAACTATAACACAGAGAAGTTAAGGAACTTACTCAGGGTCACAGAGCTAGTAAGTGTAAGAGCTGGAATGCAAATGTAGGTGGTATGACTTCTAAGCCTGTGTTCTTAACCACAGTGTTTGGTATGAACATATGGCTTGCCCCGGCTACAGCTCAATTTCTTGCCCCTTGAAATTTAGATAATATTTCCTGGGGGAGTCTAAGGTCTTGCCCCAAATTCTACATTCCCACAGATATCTCTTGCTCCAAATGCCTGCTTTTACCAAGTTAATTCATTTTAAGGATCTCTTGCTGTCCCAAGTGAAGGAATTTACATTTTAGCAAAAAAAAAAAAAATCTTCATGTTGAACATTAGCCAATTTGGTTCTTAAAAGGTCTTGGCCTTTCCATCACAGGGGACTTTATTTTCTAAAAATTTATATTTATATATTAGCTCTATAAATCTAATTAATTAAATTGATAAATTAAATTGATAAATTAAATAAATTAAATTATATATTATAGTTTTATTATATATTATAATGTTATATATTATATATTATATAATTTGTTTTTGTGCTATACAAAGTGATTTAATACTGTAGGTCGTCTTCTATGACTCACTCTTTTTACTGAACATTATGTTTTTAGATTCCTTCATGATATTGCTGTTTCATATTCCATTGGACAAACAAACATGTTGCATTTTATTTTCCATATCTTTTATTATGGACAGTAGGTCTATATCAAGTGTTGTTATAAACATTCTTGTACATATCCTATGGGGTATATGAGCAACAATGTCTCTCTAGGGTATATGAAATTGCTGAGTATTGTGGAATGCAAATATACCTCATTACAAGTGACACATTGTTTTACAACTAAATAAATTTATACTTTCACCAGCAGCATATGCAGCATATGAGATTTCTTAGCTTACATCCTCAACAAAACTTGGTATCATCAGACTTTTTAATTCTATTCAGTCAAATGAGTATAAAATGGTATCTTATTAGAGGTTTAAATTTGCATTTTTCTATTAGTAATAAGGTTTTGAATCTTTTTATGTGTTTATGCACCAGTGGGTTTTTTTCTGTATGTACCTATTCATGTCTTTTCATCTTTTTTTATTGGTTTTTAAATTTTTGTTATGTAATAGTTGATACATATAGTAAAATATATTTAACAGGTGTACCTTATAAGATGTAGCAACAGAACAAACCCCCAAGGACTCTATACACAACTCAAGGCTTCCAATATCATTTCAGTGTTATTGATTTGCAGGGGGTAGGATGGGGTTGTTTTTTGTTTTTTAATAATCTGATTACTGACCCGTTGTTGATTAGCAATTGTGTTAACAGGTATGTTGCACAGCTTGTGGCTTGTCTTTTGCTTTCTTTATAGACAGAACTATTTAATATAAGAAAATGTTACAATATTGGTTGGCGAGTTTTATTTGTTTTTACATTTACCAACTATTTGTCAATTACTCACTGTTTCTTTTTTTATATCAGACATTCCTTCTAAGATTCTATCTCTTTTTCCAGAAGTTATTCTATAGAAGTTCTTCAAGGGCGGGTCTATTAATAGTCAGCTCAAGTTTTTATACCTAAGAATATCTTTATTTCACCCTCATTCTTGAAAGATTGTTTGGCTAAGAACAGAAATATAAATGGAAAGTTATTTTCTCACATATTCCACTATCTTCTGCTTTTCTTACTTGCTGTCAAAAAGTTTTGTCTGTCTGATTTTCCTTTCTTTGGAGCAATGTGTCTTATCTCTGCCTGTTTTTCAGATTTTCTCTTTTTCTTTGATAATTGTTGTTTTATTATTATGTGTTTAAATGTGACTTCTTTTTATTTCTCCTATTTGTTACATTTGCTTTTTGTGGATTCTTTTATCAGTTCTGAAAAATGTTTTCACTTCTTTATCTCTTTCAAATGTTTCATTTCCTCCATTCTCCTTCTTTCCTTCTCCTGGGACTGATTGTACTTTATAGGCCTTGTCTTTCCATCTTCCCTATCTCTTGCTCATCTTCTTATTTCTTGATATGGCATTCTGCCTAATTCTTTAAACTTTCTTTTCTAATTATCTAATTTTTTCATTAGCTTTGTAAAGATTCTGATTGTTTTGTGATCTTTGCTAGGAGTGAATATTTGCTCACTCTTAATCTGGAAACAAACAAAAAGACCCAGTAAGCATCAATTAAGAATGATTTTTTTCACAGAGGATTTGTATTTGCTTCTCTTGGGAGCCTGAGGATCATACCAGGTTGGGGCCACTTTTTTTTTTTTTTTCCATATGAGAATGACAGTTTTATTTCTTTCTTAAAAATCCATATTAATTTAATTTTTCTTTTGCATTTTTGCACTGTCGCGGCTTTACATTCAATGATGAATAATAGTGATTATAAAATGTATCTTTTTATTTTTTATCACAGAAGAAAAGCTTTCAACATTTTGCCGTTAAGTACAAATGTTTCTGATAGTTTTATTTTGTAGAAAATTTTTATTAGATTAAGAAAGTTGTCTCAAATTCCTAGTTTCTGAGAGGATTTCTTATAAGTCATATTTGGACATTGTGTATACACATATATGTGTATATATATTTTCAATAATAGTTGACAAGGTTGGGGCCATTTTTATCTCACCTGAATCCAGGAATTTCAGGTTCAGCTCTAACCACCCACCTCCAGCTAATAGTTACATTTACCACTCTTTATTCTATTTTCAGGATTTTCTTTTTCTTACACATACGTATATACTCATACACATTCGTACTCTAGTCCATTAATTACTGTAATTCCAGCAATGCAACAGAAATTATATATTATGAAAGATCTAGTTGTTCCACTGTAAGAGGACCTTCAGAGAGGTGTGGTCTGCTGTACAGCCAAATACCGTCTTGCTAGCACCTCTCTCCATTTCCTCTCTTCCAATTCTCCTTTTTAGTCTTTCCAAATCTCTTCCCACTTCTTAATTTTCAGGTTCCTCTCTACACTCCTCTTCGTACCGTCTTGCTAGCACCTCTCTCCATTTCCTCTCTTCCAATTCTCCTTTTTAGTCTTTCCAAATCTCTTCCCACCTCTTAATTTTCAGGTTCCTCTCTACACTCCTCTCTGAAGTCTTTTCTCTTTTATGCAGAGCAGTTCAGCTCTCTTCAGCTTCTGTATTCAACCCTGGACATACCTCTGCAGATTTAAACTGACCGGCAGAAGAAAGGCAGGCCATGTTATAGGATCAACCCTCCTTAGAAGGCAGTTATAGTTGTAAAAAGCACTTTTTTCCTCCATTTCATAAATCTTACTCCCTAAGTATATATTAGCTGTCTTCCAGGTGCCTGGCACTGTCTGGAGCCCTGTATTGGTTATTGTTCAATATGAATTCATATCATTAGTGTTATGTTATCTTTAAGGTGCATTATGTAGTAGAAGCACTGTATAAAAAGCTCTAAATAAACAATATTTAACAATCTCAGAATGATTAGAATCTTTCTCAGTGTGTTTAAAGAAGTATGGAAAAGGTTAGTCTAAGTAATTGAATGTGTTTATTTTAAAGGTGGTTTTTAGCTATTACTTTCTTTCCTAATAATGGATCATCTGTAGTATGGTTTGAAGTTAGTATTTAGACTTTTACATACATATTTTTGCAGTGGCAGAAATTAGAATAAAGAATGTATATGCATTTCTCAGTGTACATAAATGCAATTCAGAATAAATCTCCTCTTTAGTAAATAATATCACTCTTACTCAGATGACCCTAATTAGAGGAACATCTTCTTTTATCTTATACCTTTAATGGAAAGCATTAAATGCAGACCCAATTTCTTTCACTTGGTAAGAATTTATTGTGTTCCTGTTTTGTACCAGGCACTACTCTAGGCCCTGGGAGTACAGTTGGGAACAAAACAAAGCAAAGTCTCTTCCACTGGGGCTTACATCCTAGTGGGGAGGCAGACACTCAGCCATGCACACAGAAAACACTGCAAAGTAGTGATAAGTACTAAACAGAGTAGATGGAGGGCGGGTGGTCAGGAAGAGAAGGCCTCGCTAACCTGGGTGAAGTGAGGACTGAGCCATATGGAAACCTGGTGAATCATTCTAGGCAGACAGAATAGCAAATGCAATGGCTCTGAGCTTCACTGTGCTTGGAATATTTAAAGATAAACTTTAGTATGAAGCTAAACCTATTCTTGTCCACACTTATATTTTTCAGGTATCCGTGATGTTTCTAAATGGAGTGAGAAAATAAGAAAGCCTCTAGAAACCCTATATGGGTATGACTACCTTGCAAAAACCTGTGAAAAGTGGGTGGATGGCATAAACCAGTTTAAACATCTTCCAGATGGTAGGTTATGTGAACTGTTTAACGGTTCCTTTGCTGATTATAGAGGCTGCTTGAGTTCCTCCCCTGATGTTCCAGAATTTCTCAGGGATTAATGCATTCTCCCACTATCCTTACACACTAATGTATGAACAGAGGATGCTAGTGATTGTATACAAGTTCTCGTATATTAAATCTGCCTTAAACTAGAGACAAATTGTATATATAAAGGTTTATATTGCTGAGTCTTTGTTCCTTTTAATCCTATGTGTGTGATGACAAAATAATTCTCCAGAAGCCTCATATAGTCTTTATTTTTAATTCCAGAATGAGTAATTAGAAAACAAATGAGCTAAAACATAAACCATATTTTTTTCTACTTTCACATATAGATGTGTTACCCTAGGACAAAAAGGAGGGACTTTCTGTCATGAACTTAGCCTCAGCAGAATTAGTATGAGGAAAAGAGTGTTCAGTTCTTTTCCCTTCTTCAGAACTAAGTTTTATAACTTTAGCCTTAATAGATGTCTCCCAGTCTTTAACTGAAAAATTAATATGATTTCCAATAACAATAAAAATGGACATCTTTAAGAAAAATTCTGAACTAAAGTCTATTTAATATGGATATTTATGTTTCTAATCTCTCATTTTTTTTTTAATTGCTCAAAGAATAGAGAGTGCCTAAGATCTAATCCTGGAGCACATTCAGTTACAAATCGTTGTGATTGAAGGACCAATTCAACCTCTTAAGTAATTGTTTCCAGAATGAGTCATCTGTCAAAACTTTCACAATGCAAAGAACATTTGGAAATGTTACTTTCTTGGTTTAAGTTAAGACAGCAAATATATCCTGTTCAAATGCAGTATCCCCTCATAGAAACAGATCTTTGGAATATTTTTCCCTCAGCTCTTAAAACGAACAAACAAAATGCTATAAAACAATGTCTGAGACAGTTCTCCATTAAAGAAGGCAGTTGTGAAATGTAGACTTTTATGTTTTCTTTAAGAGAGAAGTAAAAAGATAGGAATACTCAAAGGTAGAAGCAGAATTAAATCAGCAGTTCAAAAATATGCCCTGTATTTGTTAAAATTAAAAACTGCTCTGCAAAAGGCACTTTCAGGAGAATGAGAAGACAAGCCATAGACTGGGAGAAAATATTTGCAAAAGACCTCTCTGATAAAGGACTGTTATCCAAATATACAAAGAACTCTTAAAACTGACAATAAGAAAACAAATAACCCAAAAGATGGGCCAAACAAAAATGAGATCCCACTACTCACCTATTAGAACAACCACACAGAGGAATTTTAGGTCAGTGAAAATGCTCTCTGTATGACACCATACTGGATACATGTCATTATACATTTGTCCAAGCCCATAGAATGTACAACACCAAGAATGAACTCTAAAGAAAACTATGGACTTTGGATGATGATGATGTATCAGTGGAGGTTTGTAAAAATGTACCACTCTGGTGGGGTATGTTGGAGTAGGGGAGCCCATGCATGTGTAGGGGCAGGGGATATCTGGGAAATCTCTGTACCTTCCACTCAATTTTGCTGTAAACTTAAACTCTAAAAAATCTTTAAAAAAAGAGAGAAAGGGAATGAAAAAAAAAAATGTCACAGTATAGAGAATTTAATGTATAAATCATCTCACGGCAAAATCATTAATGAACTACTTATCTTCATTCTGTACTAATTAATTTGACAGGAGCCCTTTTTCATGGTTATATACTCAAGTTTATGGAGGCTCAGATTAGATAGGGATTAATTGCACAGATTTGAGTCAGACAGGCTTGGGTGTGAACTCTGGCTTTGCCACTTGGCTTGCTGGTAGGATGGATTCAGGCAGATTTAGCTTCTCTGAGCTGCAGTTTTCTGTCTGAGAACTAGAGATATAAATAACTACCTCATTAAGTTGTTGTGAGGTTATATATGTTCCACTTTGGCACAGTACCAACTACAGACTAAGTGCTTAATAAAAGTACATGATTTACAAATAATTGTACATACTACATGAGTTAAAGCATGTAACTTCTATAAGTGTTTCATCAGTATTAAAAAATTTATACAGTTCCTAACACATAGTGAATGCTTAGCAATACCAGCTTTAACCATTTGAGTACACAATTGGCAGGTACATATCATCCCGAGGACAGGAGAGGGAAGCTTCAGAGATCTAGATAAGTATTACCTTGATCAACTTATCACCCTCTCATTTAGCACCTCCAACCAAAGAGGAGGGGAGAGGCAAGTGCCTGGACAGCACCCCCTGGGCCAGCCCCCACTTTCTCAGAGCTGCAGTGCTTTCTTCTTGACACAGGCAGGGGAAAGGAGGAAGCAGAAGGAGCTGGCTTTATGGAGTTCCTGCTAGGTGCCAAGAACCTGGCATCTCTTTTTAGCCTTATGGCCACCCCAGGGAACTGAGTAATCCCTGTTTGATGGAGGCAGCTGAAGCTCAAAGTGGCTAAGGAACCACCAAGACCTCACAGGCAGGAGATGGAAGGACAGGAACTAGAGGTTGTACCATATTTGCCTTAGACATGTTATAAATGGGGGTGAAGATCTTATAATCTCTTAAAGTATGTTGGTCAGGAATGTCATGGAGGCAGGAGGGATGAAGAGAAGCTTATTTACCATGTGTAAATTGTAACTTCATTGTGAGGTATATAAGCTTTGAGGGCTACCTGGGACCCCAAGGACCACTTAAGACATTATTTCACGAGAAAAGCTTTTCAGATGCCAAGCATCTACCATTGCTTGACAAACTGGGAACTGCCTCTATGTAATATGTAGAATTGTAGGGGTTTTGTTTGTTTTTCTTACTGTTTTACATGAATTATGAATTTAAATCAGGCAAAACTGTTCACTAGTAGAGCTTTAAGCAAACAAACAAACAAACAAACAAACAAAAACAGCAGAGAAACAAAAAGGGAAACTGAAAGAATGTTAGAGCTGGAAGACCCCTTAGACCCTATCTAATCCAAAGCACTTATTTTACAGTCGGGGACACTGAGGTCCAAAGAGAGGCCTGACTCACCCGAGCTCTCTGTTCTCCTCACTTTGTGGAATGCTCACATTAAAGCTGGCTCTCCGTGCATTTGTCTTTCAGGTAATATCTGCCGGCACTTGCTGCCTCTGGTTCAGTGCCCCACCTTAATTGTGCATGGTGAAAAAGATCAGTTGGTCCCACGTTTTCATGCCGACTTCATACATGAACACGTGAAAGGGTCACGGTAAGTCCAGTCTCCACTTTAGCACTCTGTGCCTCGGAGGCTTCAGAAAGAAACGGGAGAAGCTATAGTAAGGAAAAGAAACATGAAAGTTGGGGTTTTTTTAAAGCATACCTCTACCCCTATTTGCCAATATCAATGAATAGTATCACTGTGTTTAAGGTACCATAGAAATACAGAGCACAAGGAGCCCTGATTTGTGGGTACCCAGTATACGGAAGGAAAGGAATTCTCAGTCAAATGTCTCAGTGCTGTGAAAGCAAATGTGCTAATATGTACTAAGTTCTGTAACACTGGTGACAGTTTAGATTTGTAGGAATCATTGTTATCAGAACAATTTTATATAATTTGGGAATTTTCATATTAGTTTATCATTATAAAAGCACTACTTACCCAGTAAAGAAAATTCATAAAATCAAAAAAGAAAACTAATTGCCTTTTGCTTACTACCTTTTTAAATTCTTCCATTATTAGCATTTTGTGTTTCTCCTTTCCAGTATTTTTTTATTATATTTTTAATTTTTCAGTTATAGTTGGCATATAATATTATATTAGTTCCAGGTATACAATATAGTGATTAGACATCTATATAACTCACAAAATGATCACCCCAATAAATCTAGTACCCCTCTGACACCATACATGGTTATTACAATATTATTGACTATATTCCTTATGCTATACTTTCTATCTTCATGATTGTTTTGTAACTACCAATTTGTACTTCTTGATCCCTTCTTCCTTTTTCAGTGGCTCCCCCAACCCCCTCCTATCTAGCAACCCTCAAAATGTTCTCTGTATCTATGAGTTTGTTTCTGTTTTTTGTTATTTTGTTCTTTGGATTCCATATGTATGTGAAATCATATGGCATTTGTCTTTCTCTATCTGACTTACTCCACTCAACACAACACCCTCTAGGTCCATCATGAAATATCTTTTTCCATCTCCTTACTTTTAGTCTGTGTGTGTTTTTTAATCTGAAGTGAGTCACTTGTAGGCAGCATATGTAGGGATAGTGTTTTCTTATCCATTCAGGCACTCTATCTTTTGGTTGGAGCACTTCATTTTTTTCCATTTGAGGTAATTGTTGATAGAAATGTAGTTATTACCATTCTTTATTCATGTTTTTAATACATGTTTTTTCTTCTTTTTAAAGAAATCCCTCCAACATTTTCTGTAATACTAGCTTGGTGGTGATGAACTCCTCTAGCTTTCTCTTGTCTGGGAAGCTCTTTATCCTTCGATTCTAAATGATAACTTTGCTGGGTAGAGTAATCTTGGTTGTAGGTTCTGGCTTTTCATCACTTTGAGTATTTTGTGCCAACCCTTTCTGTCCTGCAAAGTTTCTGTTGAAAAATCAGCTGACAGTCTTATGGGCGCTTCCTTATAGGTACCTATTGCTTTTCTCTTGCTGCTTTTAAGATTTTCTCTTTGTATTTAACCTTTGGCATTTTAATTATGATGTGCCTTGGTGTGGGCCTCTTTGGGTTCATCTTGTTTGGGACTCTCCGTACTTCCTGAAGTTGTATGTCTATTTCCTTCACCAAGTTAGCGAAGTTCTCTGTCATTATTTCTTCAAATAGGTTTTCAATTCCTTACCCTCTCTCTTCTCTTTCTGGTACTCCTATGATGCAAATGTTGTTAACCTTGATGTTGTCCTAGAAGTTCTTTAAACTATCTTAATTTTTTTGGATTTTTTTTCTTGTTACAATTCTGATTTGGTGTCCTCCACTACCCTATCTTCTGTATTGCTGATTTGATCCTCTGCTTTATCTATACTGTTGATTCCCTCTAATGTACTCTTCATCTCAGATATTGTTTCCTTCATTTCTGACTGGTTCCATTTTATGTTTTCCATTGTTATGCTTTCTGTCTCTTTGTTAAAATTCTCACTGAGTTCATCTATTCTTTCCTTAAGTGCATTGAGCATCCTTATAACCAGTGTTTTGAATTCTGCATCTGGTATATTGCTTGTCTCCATTTGGTGAGTTCTTTTTCTGGAGGTTTGTTCTGTTCTCATGTGAGACATGTTTCTTTGTCTCCCTGTTTTGGCTGCCTCCCTGTGTCTGTTTCTATTTGTTCGGTAGGGCTCCTAAGTCTCCCAGTCTTAGTAGAGTGGCTTTATGTAGTAGGTGTCCTGCGAGGCCCAGTGGCACAGCCCTGGAAGGGATCCAGCTGCAGGCCAAGTTCAGCTGCAGTCTGTGCACCTCTGGGGCTGCCTGGTAAGAGTCACCAAGCAATCCACATATGGCTGCCATCCGTGCTGGGCTTGTAGGTGCCTCAGGGGGCCAAGTCAGAAATCGAGTCTGGCTGTCACAGGGCTTGGAGCTTCTCAGCAAGAGGTACAGGGCATGCCGAGGCCAAATGTTGCTTCTTTGGGTTTTGTGAGCCTTTGAGAGATTTTCTCAGTATTTTTAACGTAGAAATAATTATATTCTATATTAAACTCTGATTCCTATTTTTTCCACTTAAAATTATGTTGTAAATTTTTTGTGTTATTTTGGCCTTAAATATGTACACACCAGATGAGATACCTGTTATTCAGAATCACAAAATACCAACATATGCCAAGCCATGTTGGTGGCTCACTTGATTAAATAGCAGATACTTGTTGCTTGTTCTATGCATTCTTATTTCTGCCAACCAGCTTTGGGCATCGAAGAATGTTATAAGACGTGTCAGCAGAAATTTTGTTCTTCAATCCTATACATTTTTGTATGGAATGAATAGAAATTTATATTTTAAATACTTTGGCTGACACAGGAGCTAGCTTTTGCTAGCCAAAATATATAGCCAGCTATATTGAGATGAAAATTCAAAGTCGAATAAATTTAGTATTTCCTTTATATGCAATGGATGCATATCCCGAAGGAGAAAATGAGGTGTGACCAGGAGATAGCGGCCTAATTTTTTTTTTAAACAAATATACTGGAAAATAAACATCCAAATGAGCCTTATCCCCCTTCAGAAACTAGATATTAATTCCAGAGATATTGTCATTACTCAGGACATCTTTGAAATTCTATGGAATTCTTTTGAAACTGGCTTTATTAGCAGCCTGTGAAAATTCTTCCTCCCTCACTTGTATTCTCCCTTCTTTCTTCGCTCCCTCCCTCCCTTTCTTCCTTCTACCTCTCCCCTTCTCTCCTTTCCTCCTTTCCTTCCATGACCCAATTTCTGATGCCTGCTGAGGGCCAGCCCTGCCCAGCATGGTGAATACTTGTCCCTATCCTGAGAGCTCCCATAATTTGGCAGGAAAAGCAGACTCAGAAGTAGGTCCACCACTTTCTAAATATACTATTCCAGGATATATTTTAACAAATTTTTTGGAGAATTTTTAAATGTAGGGGGGATGCTTCTTATTCTACAATAAAATACAATTACAGTAATCCTGTATAATATCTATATCCATATAGCATTTTATATTTTAAAAAGCATTTTACATATATTATCTAATTATACTTCGCAACTATATTATGGAAAAAAATGTTTTCCTCATTTTACAGGTAATAATATCAAGGCTGAAAGATACTAAGTAATCGTCCAAAATTGTATAGCTAATAAATGAAAATTTTTTTGATTTTTTTTTTTCTCCTAATATAGTGCTTTCCCCCCCCTAGCACAACTGCTTCTCATAAACATACTCTTATTTTAATGTGTTGGTAAGATGCTTGGATTATGTACTTGCTGATCTGGTTAATTGTTTTCTAGCTTCAGAAATGACAGAGTTTTGCACACTGACTCTGGCTTGTGTTCCCTTGGAAAACCAGGTTCAATAAAAGTCAGTCTATAAGAAAGTTTAATATAGGAATTCTGTTTTAAACCCATCTCTTAGCAACAGAATACATCGATATGAGAGAAAAATATTCCCTTTCTGTTCCAGTGTTAATTGTTTTAGCAGAATATTTTGTGGAAGATCATTTTCTTAGGGTAGTATTCTTTGGAACAAATCAGTCAAAAGTAAAATGTTATTAGCAATGATTATTTAAAACGGGCTTGCATTTTACACCTACTATCTTCCTCTGCTAAAACAGCCCTTTATGTTGGGCATGAACTTACCTAGAACAGGATGGTTTATTTTGGACCCCACAAAAGAAAGATAGATTCCTCGAGCATCAAAGTCATACTATGATTCTATACACCACACCACTTGACAACAAGAAAGCAACACAGAGTGTAGCAAGCTCCAATGAACTTGTATTTTATTACCTTGCCAGGTACATTTATAACTAAACTTTAAGGCACAGTGTATACCTTCAAAGATTTTACCAACAAATAGATATCACATATGAAACCAGTGCCTTTCTTTTCTCAGAAGGAGGCTAATGAAAGGTGGGGTTGTTAAGCAGGCCTACTTCCTGCTCATGTTAATTTGTCTCTCTTTTCTTTCTTTGCGGAAGAAGAATGATAGAATCTTTTGGAAGCAAAGAGGCTTTAAAGATCATTCAAGTTCACTGGTTTTAAAATTTGTTTTTAGGCAATTGACCCCTTCCTCCTAACAAACTCTTAGGCAGAAGTCCAAGATAGAAAACATAAAATAAGAGCTGCTCTGATTACAACAGTGATGGGGAGCAGACCTTGCCCCTTTGATTCGCCTTGTCCTGACCCAGCCCTATGCATCTCCTGCTTGTCCAACTCTCCCTCTTAGATTGAAAAGCGCTGACATCACTCACCACCTGTCTAGCTAGCCAGCCTTTGCTTGGGCGTCTCCTGTTACCAGACATGCATCACCCATGAGGCTAGCCCCAGCTCGTTTTCAGAGAATTTGCATTGAGCAGAGGTTGGCACCCATCAGACTCTTTGGAGTTGGGGCGGGCGGGCCCCGGGAGGCTGTGGGGCTCAGCTATCTCAGAAGAGGATATGAATACTACATGGCTTGTTGAGCCATGTGTGTGCTCACTATGTGTATTAGTCTGCTAGGGCTGCTATAACAAATACCACAGACTGGGTGGCTTAAATAATAGAAGTTTATTTTCTCACAGTTCTGGAGGCCAGAAGTTTGA